AAATGATTTAATGTTAACTGTCATTACTTGACACTGTTTTACAAACTGACATTGACTTAATTAAAATCACCAGCCTGAGAAAAATTCATCATGATAGTTACGTAAGGCAGTAGACATGACACACAGTTTTTGTGAGCATGGCTAGATATGGTGTGGCAGGTTCCAGGAACCTTCTTAAGAGGGAGCTGGAGAATGACCGTGGCCCCCTTCTTTTCCCCTTTCTTCATCCTGTCGCCTGAATTCTGAGGTGCAGGCACGTGGACATGAGAAAGGGGTAACCATAAGGAATCTGGGATCCTAAGTCCTCCAGTGCTGGGCTGCTTACCTCTGGACGCTGTTGATATAAGAGAGAATGATAAATTCTTATCTTACTGAGGCTGCTAATAAGTTAGTTTGTGTCATTCTCACCTGAACCTATTCTTAATACGCTGGCCAATGCATTCACTGTCATCCGCACCTGACATGCAACTTAGACTGCATGAAATGGGTTATAATTCCAGTGTCTTTTCCTGTCATCTGACTTATTTGGGATACAAACAAATCCTAATGCATTATTAACACATTGGCAGGCCACATAAAGCACAGATGGCTAGATATGTATGAACTACTTGCATTAATCATGAAGTAAATTTTATCTTCTGATACTTTCTCATATAATGACAGTCTAAGGGTGGTTTACTTTTACCAGTAAATCTACTGATATACTGTAAATGAAGTGAAACTTCAGTGAGGATTCCTGACACAGAACTTTTAAACTTTTAAACTCAAACAAGTTTAATAAAACAAATATAACAAGTAAAAATAAATTTTAAGATTCTGTTAAATGTTTCAATAAGCTTCTTTTTGTAAGGACCAACTTTAATAAATACATACAAAAATAAATACAACTGATATAAAAAAAAAGAACTGGTAGTTGTAGTTCAATGGGATTCTACTTTGATAAAGACATGAAATGACCAGAAAGATGAATGTGATAAAGCATAGTGAATAAAGATGATAAGCAGATAGATCATAAGCCAGAGAAATAAATTTAAATGTCTACATATGATGTGTACTTTATGAAGACACTGAGAAGCATTTGAAAAATGTAAACTTTCAATTTTTCATATTATAATGTCTAAGACACCTGATTGACCAGGAGTTGATAAATAACAACATTAATGAGTTTATCTATCAGTTCATCCATTCTTACATTTACTCACTTCACCACGCCTTATGTGACACCTGTGTGCCAGTCACTGTACTAGGGTTTGAAGGATGGTGTCAGGTAAAGACAGATACCGACCTGTGCTCATCAAGTCTGTAGTCCACTGGAGGAGAAACAGCAATGACCTCATCCTTAAAACAAATACACAGTCAAAACCTCGGTGAAAGGCTCTGAAGGAAGGTGACACAGTCTCCCATGTGTCAACCCAGCCTGGAAGGGGCCAGGAAGCTGTCCCTGAAGAGAGTGACATATAAGCTCAGCTCCTAAAGCATTAATTCACTTTCATAAAGTGAAGAGAAAAAAAAGGAAAGATGGTTTCATATTTTCTGAGACAGGCCCCCTGCAATCCTCTTCCTTTCTCTTATCAAGATCTTCTCTTTCCTTTGTCTCGGTGTCTCTATTCTGTGCAATTTGGATTCTGCTCTCAACACCCCTTCCCCAGAGCAGAGCTTGGCCCTGCAAAGGAACTTTGCACAATTCACAGGTGCAGACCTGCTCCTTCAGATTTTGCTGTGGTTGCACTGCAGCCACTTGAAAATTGGAATCTGCAGACCCCGCCCAGTTTGGGCTTCTGTTGTGTTGGTCTTGCTGTGCCTTTTGATGAGGAACCACAGCCACTTCAGGTGTCCCATCAGGTGTCCCGCTGCCTTCCTGCTATGATTTTAAACACAGATAATGATACCATGTTGGTTTTCTAGTTGTTGGTGATTTATTCTTACCTGCTCACATCTCCAGGCTGTAGAAAGACGTTGTCATTTGGTTTTGTTGTGGATGTTGTCTGTGGGTTTGGGGGCAAATTACTTAACTTCTTTGAGTCTCCACTTCCTTCCTGTAAAATGGGCTAAACATTGCGCCTGGCCAGCACAGCCAATGGTTCGGTGAGCCTGGGGGGACGGGGGGGGGGGGGA